AATTTTCACTATTTCTGAATTATCTTCCCTTGAATAAGGGTGTGGCCCTTCATTTGAACAAACTTGAATCCCCTTCACCTAAGGATACTTTGTGCCAAGTTTGGTTGAAATTTGCCCAGTGGTTCTTGAGAAGAAGTCGAAAATGTGAAAAGTTAATGACAACAACGACGACGACAACAAAGACGACGACGACAGACAACGGACAAATTTTGATCAGAAAAGCTCACTTGAGCCTTCGGCTCAGGTGAGCTAAAAACAAATAGAGTTCATATGCCTATTTCTTTTTAAATGTGGACTTATCTTTAATGTCAATTGAAGAAAATTGAAATTATTCCTGAGAACTATTTCTTATTATTGTTCAGTAAATAAAGTCTATAAACGACGATGTTTGAAGAAGTATTTTTGTGATTTTTTATATTCTCTTCTTGACAAGTACCCCTAAAAATAACTGAAAATGTGTAGTCGCAGTATGTAATTACCATACCAAGTTTTACAGGCTGTACTAGATTTAAAAACAAGGAAACATATCATGAGCTTTTAACTGATTGTTAAGCAAGTACTAATTTATCATTTCGAAGAGTTTGAAAATCTTGTGACAAAGACTTTTCCAACAAAGGTTCTACCTTAAAATGAATGCTTTTCAACCAAAACCACATACTTACATTTTGGTTAGAATTAAAACAAGAGAAAACAAAAGTATTCAAATATTATTACTTACACCCTTGACAAAACAACCCAAAATTAAATTAAGAAATTCAACTAATGATGTAGCCAAATAGTCTTTATTGCTGCTAATATCATATATAGCAATCAAAGATATGCACCAGAAAGGAAAATTACATAACATATAAATTAGTTAACATTAATTGTGTTTCAGATGAAACAATTAAAAAATTAAGGTCTGAAGCTGTACAACCACAAGTAAATGTTAAAATAAGACACTAAAATTGTAAACAAGACATAAATACCCTCTTGAAATTTATACACGTAATAAGAAATTAAATTTAAAAAAAAAATCAATTTTATGTCTTAGCATAGTCAACATATTTCAGCAAAATATTATCTTCAGAAAAAGAGTTCCATGGGCCACAACACTCTCCAAAGTCATATTTGGCTCAGTTGCTTTAAAAATGTTTTTGTATTTCTTTGAAAAATATCAAACTCATACTGTTTCCATAAAAATATTCTGGTTCAGAATTTTTTTGTTAAGATTTTTGTCTTCATCATCAAAAGTAGCCCTCACTGGAGGGTATTGATTTAAACAACTTGGAATATACTTGTACAGTCAAATAGTTATGTTTTCTTAAAATAGATATGAATCCTCCTTTGAACAAACACTCAAGGATGGTTTATTTCAAGACTGGTTAAAATTGAATATTCTTGACAACAGGAAAAGTCGGACAAAATTTGTCAGAAAACCTCTCTGAGATCTCAGCTAACATGAGCTTATAAAACATACCTTTATTTAGATTACACAGTTTAAGCTGTATGAACAAAACTGGATTTAAATTGGGAAAAATAATATCTTTATGCATTAAGGTCAGCTTAAAAATAATATTTGTTTGTCTTCTCCTGACTCGTTGTAAAAACAAAAATTGGGTTGGTAGATTAGAAAAAAATTTTCTCAGAAAACAACAATTTAAATGCTATTTTTTAAATTTTCCAGAATACATAAAAAAAATGAATTGCTTCAAGGAGGTTAATTTTTTTAAGATGGTCTAATAACAATCATTTAGAAAAACCAAGTGAAAAATAATGCAGAGCTTTATGCACAAACACAATTTTAAAAAGTAAGCAAAATATGCACACTTTAATAGAAATTTTAACTTCATTAACAAATTCATCACACATATCAAATACATTAAATGTTATAAGAGAAGTCTAGACAAGTCCAAGGGACTGTGCTTTGACCAAACTTGAATGTACATGTATACACAAAATGGAGAGATGTTTGCATAATAAGTAAATATTCATCAAATATGTTGCCAATAGGATTTCTAACCCCACCCCCCAAAAATAAATTCTTAGGCACTTCAATGTGCATTAAAAATTCATTTAACAAATTATTTTTTTATACATTTGTGGAAATTATCTGCAAGTGTATGTATTTTCTTAAGTACTTCAATGTGCTGAAAAAATTCACCCTATACAAAATATTTGTAAATATAATGATAATTTTGGAACAAGATATTAAGAATCCTTCATGCATTAAATACTAATATAGTGTACATGTATATTCTGTGATCTATACACACTATGTGATGTGTTTATTTGTTAATGTTAATTTTTTTTTCCTAATCCACAAGTCATATAAAACTACAGAATGAATCTTATTAAAAGAAATCACAACACTGTAAAATTTTGGACGGCAATTTTTCTTTATTTAGCAAAACCTTTATGGCTGGACATTTTTGATCTCCTTTTCCAAAAAAAGAGGGTGAGCTTTTAAAAAAAAAACATTTTTTTCTATTTTAGCACTGATTTTTTTTCCATGCTAAATTCTTGATACAAAAAATGTGATAAACCAACTAAATTTGATCTTAATTTGGATACTTATTTAAAAATTACCAAGTTATAGCTACTTATGGCCTTATACCAATCAAACCTCCTAATAATTGCTACACTATTAATGTTCTCTCAGATAAACATGCTAATGAGAATTTAGCATTAATTAATTTACTAATATGTACATGTAAATGTGCATTTTTACTGATGTGCAAATGTGCATTTCGTTGTTATATAATACTAGTATACCATATTTCTATATTGTACTGTAATTCGCAAGGAATACATGTATATAGACAAATTTAAAAAAAAACAACAGAAAACTATATTTTTCAAGTAGCATATATGAAAAAAGCATCACTCTATGAAAGAATTAATTAAAAAATATGCCACAAACAATCTACATAGAAAACTAGTTCTATAAATATTGACCAGTATTGATTAATTTTCTTTTGAAAATCATTTACAAAGAATTATGATTATATATAACTTGAATTTAATATAATTTTCATTTTACAAAAGTAACAAAAGTAAATTGCCTGCCAAGAAAAAACAAAATTGCTTATCGGTACTTATAAACATGATTCATGATAACCATAGAGAAAATCATTCTGCTGTAAATGTGAATTCACTGTAAGTATGTTCTTTAAAACTTGGTTTTCATCCATTTTTTATCTTTGACAATGACAGATTTCAAATATCAACCAAATAAAATATATATATACACTAAAATTTATTTTTCTAAATGTTTTTCATTTCACTCTCTTAAAAAAAGAGGTATATCTACAGAAGAATTCTGATTTATTTAAAATGGAACATGCTCCCTTCAGCATTTTGGTTTCCTATGGGTCTAATAGAACAAATCATGAAACGGTTTAAGCACTGAATTCATATTTTGGGATGTCTTCGGTCCTATAACACACCTGGCCGTGCCGACAAATTGAATACAACACTTTAGCGTGGTATGATAATTTGTCGGCATGGCCAGGTGTGTTATATAGAATCGAAGACATCCCAAAATATGAATTCAATGCTTATATTTACATTCTCTGATTTTTTCCTCTTCATAATTGTTTATTTAGGTAATCTTTAATGTAAATTAAGCGCCCTTCAAAACTGGTGTGCTTTATAGATGTAAGAGCCAACTGTGACGTTGTAAAGTTAAAAACGCAAACGAACATTGCGAGGAAAAAAGTGACAAATTAATTTTAAGTGCACATTTGTTATATTTTTACGTTAATTTAACAGGGTTAATTTCTTTTATAAAATTGTGTCAAAACAATGTAAATTTTGGTGTTCCTGGTATATTGAAAATAACATATACATGATAAAGTTCCTACTGTGTATTCTTTCGCTCGGTGACAAGGTAAAGCATGTGTTATAGAATTAAATTTTAAACGTCATGGACTTCTAACGGATTTCACGAAGAAAATGACAGTGAATGTAAATATTACTATAGCCTATGAATAGGACAATATAACTGCAGTAACAGCACATTTCTACTTCTATAATCCATAAAGCAAAATTCTGCTTATTTTTTTTTTATCACAGCACATTTTGCCCTAAAGATTAAAATTAAAGTATAAAAACATTGTTTTGACATTCTATTCAAAATACCCAAATCTTTCTTTTCTTTATCATTCCAGAATATATAATACAAAAATAAAAACATCAATTTTTAAAATATAGAATAACTAAGGTCATGCAAAGTTAATTCCTTGGTTCTCAGGCCTTTTTTCAAGAATTTTATGATGACAGAGGGAGGCATTTTTTATTTACTTTTTTATTGCCCCCAAAACATGATGAGCCAGCTTTTAACATTGTACAAAACCTCAAAAAATGATGAGGGAGTTGATTTGTTTTATTTTCTTAATTTACCAATGAAAAAGGTCAATGAGGCACCTGAGAACCAAGAAATTATTTTTTTATAACCTATTGAACTAAATAAAAATTTTCTTTTGGCAAGAAATCTAAAACCTAGAATAAAATATTTCAATATTTGTATGGAGTCCCTCTCATTCAGTCTGTGACCCCCTTGGCTGCTAGTTCCTCTTGAACTCTTTGTAAGTAGGTGGGATCAGGGTATCCAAATCTGTTTAAAATCAATATTGAGCATAATTAATGAAGAATATGTCAAAAACATATTGTATAGTTTTTATGGATTAAAAATTAGAAAATAAGACTGATCCTGAGTACAGGTGTACCAAAATGTTAAAATAATAACAAAACACATTTTTGAAACATATTTGTCAAAGGTATGGTAATTAACCATAATAGTAATTTTCGATAGCAAAGATATAATAAGATCAACAAATAAATAAATAAATCCCTACCAAATTAACTGACTAACCTCTGAGCCCCTGTGTCCCTTTTGGTTTTGTGATGAATGTCATTCCAGGTAACCACATTGTCTTTACCAGTGGTTCTGGAATAACCAATGGTGAAGGTCAGTTTTCTGTCGAACGCCGTCTGTAGCAGTTGTAGAACTTTTCTTCCCTCCTCGTTGTCCGGGAGAAATCCTCGTCTCTCTGTTCCATCATAGGGTTGACCTGGATTAGGATGATCTGGCTGTTGGGGAAAAAGTTTCAAAATATATATAGCCATTTAAAAAACGCTTAAAATTGAAGTTGTCTCCTGCAAATACAACAGCATATTTTTTGGCTGTCATTAGTTAGAATATTTGCTTTTAATTAAGTAACTAAATCAGAAAACTATATATATACTGTAAACCAACATTGATTTTCAAAAAAAAAAATATTCCACTTTCAAGACCTTGAATTTACTGTACATGAATATGTTATATATGCTGCCTAAGTTGAGAAAAATAGTAATAACTGAGTGGTTCTAAAATAAATAATTGTTAATAAAACATGTCGAAATAATACCTGGCTTACAGTATATGAATATATGCAAGTTAATTAAATATTCTCTGCAATTTATCTACAATTTCATGATTTATATGTTTTCTCACCCCTTGAATTCCTGAATTAAACTTGTACTTGACAACAATTGTTCCAACCCCTTCATATCCTGGCAATGGCCGTCTTTCTTTTTCTACCGTCATTTCACCTGGGGGCTGATTTCCAGTGATTTCTCCAAAAATCTTCCCGCACACAGGACAGGCCTCTTTGTGTTTGGTAAACGACTGAGTCAGACAACCTTTACAAAATTCATGACCACATGCAAGTTTAAGACCATTTTTGATATCATCCAGACAGATGACACAAGTTGTGGTTTTATCATCATCCCCAGGGTTGGCATTTGTTTCATCAACACTAGAGTTACTGTTTTCATCTTCTTCATCTAAACCAATAATCACCAAGTTTCCATTACTTGCCTTTGATGAGTGTTTTTGCTTATCAGTTTCTACCTTTTCAAAAAGGCTTTCTTGGACTGTGTTCTGAGCTATAATTCTTTCAATAGATGCACTTTTGTCTTCTTTGAATTGTTTTTGCCTACTATCAAAACTTTTTGTATACAAGGACTGGGTTCTTCTTGGACCAGTTTTTGGACGAGCACCGATTCCATATCCATTATTCCCTTCAGATTCATCAGAACGAGAATCTGTCCAACTAAGTTGTCTATGAAAACTTCCAGCATGTCTTTTTCTTGTGTGATCCCCAGCAAAATCTTCAGTTCTCTCATTTCTCTCTCTCTGCTTTTGATAAGAGTCATGAGAGCTAAATGTCTGTTTACTGCTATTACAGGAAAATACATCCAGTAACGCAGAAGTTATTTTTGGATTCTTGTTAATCAGATGAAGCTCTGCAATGTGACAGGAAGACTGGTGATGGAAACAGAAATCGTCAATCACCTGAAAGAATGCTGTACAGCACTTCCGCAAGTCCTCAGTACTGTTCTCGATTTTACCTTCAAAAACCAAAAGTCTCTGTTGAAACTGTAGCTCTACTGGCTGAGACTTAAATAATTTGAGAAAAATGGATGCATTAAATACTTTCATTCCAAAGAGAACTTTATTTCATTAAGTGATAATAATAACTTTTTATCAAATTATACGTCATTCACTGAATCGTGTAAAGTCTCTGTTTACCAGTATATAATTAAATTACTATGGGTTAAAAACATAAGAAGTATATTTAAAGGGAATTTGACAATGCTTTTTTCAATAACAGGAAAAATTTTAATTTTTTGTTCATTGAAATTTTAAAATTGATTCAGATAAAAATTATAATATATATTTAGATGCAGTCTACAATTGCGCCTAGTCTTTATATTCTCACTAATAAAAAAAAACTTTCTGGAGTGGTATGTTTTTTTAAATGATCACAAAGGTGCATCAATTTTCAGTTAAAGTGTTAACTTTGATCATCAAAATTGAAAACCAAATACATAGAATTACCAGTATCTTCTAGTTTTAGTTAACAAATGTGTAAAGCACTATTGAAATCAGACAAAGGCTGTAGCATTTTTTTTTTTAAAAATCACCAGCTAAAGCCCACAAGGAACGATCAAATCACATGAACTTAATGAATATATCTCTGCTCTTCTAAGTTACTTATTATAATGAAAATAACATTAATATTATGATTATTCTAGCTCCAACATTTATATAATAAATGTTGAACAAAAAGTCAGATCTAAATAATTAGTAGTAATGAAACTGCAGTTACTAACCTGCTCCAATTAATGGTATTGCAAAAGCTTTTGCTTTATTATAAGTGTTGATTGTTTCTAGAATAGTCTTTATTGTGGTTTGGTAACCATGCAGGGAAGATTCGGAAGAGCCATACAACACATCGATTACAGCATGGATGACAAATCGCACAGACAAATTCTTTCCTGCAGAACAAGTCTTTATATCACCTGGCTTTGCTCGCACACTAGCCGTATAGCTGATTGATGGACGCATCTTATCAAAATTTGCTGCATATTCTGCTCCACCTTCTGTCTCAAGAGCTCTAGCAAGTACTCCCCCACCTGAAAAGCTACCATCACTGCTGCAAATAATGGCATCTCCACTAAATTTTACTATGCTACCTGTGTAGATTTTCACAACCATCTGATTGAGGAATCTAAAAACCTTCACTTCATCTTTGACACCTTTTTTTCTCTCATCGGGATCCTGCACTACTTTGCTATGCCCAGACCGTCGCTGTAAATTTACGGCCGTATGGTCTGAATTGTTAACAGAATTACTTCCTCTGTCCACAAAAGTCCGATGCTGGCGTCTACTGGAAATCTGAGAGGCTGACAATGATGAACGCTCTTGGGAAGGCCATCCAGAATCTTTCATCAGATGTGGATATCTTGCACAAATTGATTCAATGGTAATTGAATCTGGATCACCCTGGAACTGACTGCAAGCAGAAATTATTTCCTTGATGACGGTTTCATCTGTATCCACTAAATGAATTTCAGAGACAAAACTTTTCATGCCTTCCTCTTTGACATACTCTTGGATACCCAGCAAATACATCTTTGCACACAACTCTAGTGGAACTTTGAAAATACCTAAATGGATATAAGAATAGACTACATATTGCTGTATACCTTATAAATCTTAAAACCGCCTCATTGAAATCTAACTAGCAGTTACTGTTTATAAAATATTCAACATTAAACATTGTCAGAAAATCCAGTATCTTATTAGCAGAATGTGTCTTTTCAATAAATATGTTTTATAAAAATTGTAAATATTATCCATCTACACGATGTCCATAGAATACATTTTTTTAATGATGTGCATCATTTCCTTACCTGAACTTATGCCTGGCATGGCCACTGTAAAACAGTATTTCTTACTTGCAGCCTTCAAGATATTTTTCATTGTGTCTTTTAATTCTTTTAAACAAATTGCTTTCTTTGGATAATCATCCCATTTTGGACCAACTGCATTGAGAATACATTTATATTTATTTCTCAGTTTGCCTGGATCTGTCACTAGTACATCAGATGGATTTAATGCACTGCCACGAACAGACAACTGTCTTTGACAGTCATTGTTAAAGTCAATTCCAGCTTCATATGAAATGGCAGCTGCTATTCCTGCAATATGTTCCATCCTCTCATTTGCAGCATTGACAATCGCATCCACTTGAACGTCTAATATTGACTTTTGATAAACTTGTACCTTAATAGGCCCAAAAAAGACTGTGTAACTTTTTAGGCCTGAATGATGTGTAGCAGGATTCCCCCCTATTTGTGTTGAATATGAACTTCTAGCCCTCTTTGGACTTATGGATACTGCTCCTGGTGCACTGGCAAGTGGCATGCTTTCCGACTTGGACAAATTTTCTGAACCCTTTGGTTCTTGCATCCGAGTTTCTATCCCAAATCCTTTAAGTTTAATTTTTAATATCTCAAAGCTATCACAGAATAAGTGGAGTTTAATTCTTTCATCTATCACCCAAAAATAGGAATTCTTTGACTCCCAGATTTTCAACTTCCTAAGTTTAGAAATAGTATCTGAATCTTTTATAACAACTGACCAAAGTTTTGAAAGTTTCTCTTCAATCCCAGCTATGCAATCCTTCACTTTATTTACCTGTCCCTCTGATAACCTTAAATCCATTTTAATGTAATTTACAGTAATGTCATGTATATGTACCAATTTTGAACTTTTTAATTCTTCAAATTCCCTTTGACAAAAGTGCTTCAATAGGGACATTTCCACTGATGTTAAGTTCCATTTATGGATAGATTTCAAATAACTAAATTCAACTTTTCTTTGCTCAATCTCAAAGACAGCCATAGTTTCTACAAAACAAATAAATTAAATAATTGATAAAAAAATTTATGTACTATCCAGCTGTTAGAAATTCAAATATAAAAAAATTACCTATATATACAATACCACCACTAAAGTATGTTAAAATCCACACTTATTCTACACTACCCGAGGATGCTACATTAGCAATTGTAGATAAGCATTACACGATGAAAATACTGTGTACTACAGCAGGTTGAATAATACAAGTACAATTTACATAATGATCTAAATTGAGGTTAACTCAGTGTTTGATTTTTATTCAAAAAGAAACACTGATTTCAAAGCATTTTAGTAACCAGGAATATTCTAGTAAAGGTGACAACGATCTCCATTTTGGAAGAAAGAATCAGAGATTTTGATTAAAATCGATTTCTTTAAACATGTTGAATAAAAAGACTATGCACTTGGCATAATTACTTTTAAGCACACAAAAGCTTGTGCCATCAATTATCAATGTAAGATGATATTGTAATAAGTGTAATACAATGCAAGTAATACAAAAAATGTTAGATTTTGAATTTACCGATCAAGATTTTCTTAGATATTGTTGTTTACTCTAGCTAAACTTGCTACATGTACAGGGTGATCCAAAATATCTGATACCATTTCAAGTGATAGTAATTCTTTAAAATTTTAGGAAATTCTTCATTTAAATATTTTAAATTTTAACATATGTTATAACATTTTATACAACACATGCCACAGATTTTATACACATTCTTTTAAATAATAATACAGTCCCAAAATAATGCTGCTATTTACAGCACACGCTCTACGTGACATCCACTTTGTTCAATCACGAGTTCAAGTCTTTTCTTAAAGTTATTGATCAAATTTCTGGTGTAATTTTCCGAATTTCTCGGGTAATTTCTGATTTCAGATCCTCCAGGGTGTTTGGCTTTGGAGTATACACCTTGTCTTTTGAAAATCCCCACAGAAAAAAAAATTTCTGTGGACTTGAATCAGAAATATGTGGTAGCCAAACACAGTTCGTCCTGAACGAAATCAGTTGGTTACCGAAAGTTTTTCTGTAAGCATCCAAGAACTTGTTCTGATTTGTGTGGGGTTGCTCCATCTTGTTAGAAATATATCATAGGCACTGTACAAGGAAAAAGTTTAAGTAATGCCGTAAAGTTCTGTATAGACTTCCATAACTGGGCATGTTTCCTAGATTTTTCATAACACTTCTTACTGACTTTTGTGGCTTTTCCGTTATCAGTTCTTCAACAACGGCAACCAATTCAACAGTTCTGATTGTCAGGGGCATTCAAATGTTTTTCAAATGAACATCTACTGATCCAGTCTTTTGTTATTTCTTCACTAACTTATTAAAACCTGCAGTTTTGTAAGCTTACTGCCCAGTTGATAACATTTTCTCATAATACAAATCCCTGTTAAGGGTGAATGTGTCTCAAAATAAAATTGGACCATTTCTACAGCTCTCTGATTTGACATATCAATGCAAAATAAACAATAACAGATTTATGACGTCATATTGTCATGACAACGTCAACATTTTCCCATATTTTCATATTTATTAAAATGGTAGAATTAGCAGTTTAAAATGATGTATAAATGAAATATGTAGAACAATTATTAACAAAGATATTGAAAGTCAAAGTAGTATCAGATATTTTGGATCACCCTGTATATCAATGAAAACTTTTTTTCTTTCAGTTTACTCTTCTTCGGATATCATCTTAGGCCATAATAAAAATATTCCTAGATTCTCATCCCCGCCCACACAATATTTTACCCCCGCCTTGATTTTTTTAAAATTTCTGTTTTTCTTCCTCTTAATTCTGATCAGGATCAGTATTCATCTACCATATTCTACTTTAGTTTTAAATCCTGTGAAAGTCAACATGATTTTGACAGCTGAAAAGATGGTAATTAATTGCTGTAATACAATTAAGGGCTGTTCAGAAATTATTGAGACAATTACCGGTACATTTACTCCGTAAAGGACGGAGATACTTTCATGAAAATTCATCGACATTTTATAAAGAACGAATAAAACACAAATGCAAAATTTCTAATTCCTATGATAATAAAAAAAAATTCGGTGAAATGATAAACATGCATATATCTTTCGACCCGGAGCAGCATCACTACGTCATTTAACGTCACATCAGTCGGAGATCGTTTCGCATGTAAAACGATCCGAAAGCGTTTAATACCTTTCCTTCTTTGCTATAACATATAACATTACAAAAATCAAACAGTCTCTTTTTTTAATCTATTTTTAAAAAAATTTTTGCTGCAGCTTCCCCAGTGTAAAATTTTTATTTGTTGGAAAGGATGACTTAGCATCATGCAGTGCCAATTCATGTAACGTGGGTCAACGGTATCAAAAACGTAACGATATTAATATCGTACGTAATAACTGATAGTCGTAAGGATCTTTTGATTTTACTCTGGTTGAATTAATTGTAAAAAAAATGTATACCCAATGAAATAACAAACCCTGACACATTATTTTTCTTTCGTTGTTATTCTTTTAGCAGGGCGTTCAGTCTGGAAAAGAGTTCTACATTGCGGTTCATAAAATTTTCAGTATGTTGGATGCTCCGCCCTTGACGTTAGAATCCAATTTTGCGTTCTTAGCAGATTTCTCTACTGCGCTTAATTTTTTTATGATCTCCGTATTCCTGATCAAAATTCTAATAAAGTTGCACAACATTAATTTGAAATGAAGCTGAAAAATTTTACACATAAACTGAATTATTTTCGCTCTTATTATGGGTCTACGAAAAGTTAGAATGTTGGTGATACATATTTCAATATCTGATTTTGTGACTGCTCCGGGTACCCCTACTATTGACGCATTTATATACCATTGTACAAGAAATATTTTACATTTGTAAAATATATTTTTTGCTTTTATTAATTCTAAGTGTATTTCAAACGTATATGCAAAGTTTCACCAAAACACGTTCATTCGAAAGCAAAATATACACAGTGTCTCAATAATTTTCGAACAGCCCTCGTAAATGCGTATATATTTTAAACAAGAGTCATTGGTTGAAAAAGATTGGTGATGATGTGAAGTAAGAGATAATTGAATCTTTACTATGACTTTTATTCAGATAAAAATACACCAATTGACCAGGGGCCCGTTTTACAAAAGAACTTACGACTCAGACCAAAAACTTCAAATGATTGTAAAACTTTGCACAATTAATAATTCTCTTTGAAATTGCTTGTGTAAAAATATCTTACCACACTCCCCATGAGAATTTTTAAATAATTCTTGATATAAAGTTCATTAAAAAGTTATATAAAAAATTATATTTGGTCTTAAGTCAAAAGTCCTTGTGTAAAACGTGCCCCAGGTCAATAAAAAATCTGCAAAATTGAAAAAATTAAAATAAAAGCCACCCGCCTGCCTCAATTTTTGAAAATAATTCGGATGAGAATCTAGCAATTTATTTATTATGGCCTTAAATGGAGGAAAAGTTTCCTGTGTCTATAAATTTATGGTAACTTGACCTTCTTATAATCTTACTTGTCAAAAATAAGAATGCTTCTCAAGAACAAGCTCAAAATCAAAATAAAGGTCAAAACATTATATATTAACAAAATACGAGCCACGAACATTGGTCCCCTACGAACAATGATGATTCTGCAGTACTCTTCAATAATTTTGCTGAAAATCAAAATCTGCTAGCGCTTTGATTTGAAAATCAGGGGAGTTCTCCCCTTTCTCCAGAATTTCTCCACTTTCCAGCATCAGGCAATCAACAACCATCACTCCCTAATTCTAGGCACATTCAGAAGCCAATATGTAAATTTTATCCACCTCCCAACCCTTTATAGTTGTCTCTACAGGCAATATATGTAAACTCGCTTGAAAAAATTTTTTCAGCAATCCAGCAGTTTTTTTCCTTATATAACTCCAGGTACCGAAAAACGGCACCGTAAAGTGGAGAAATTCTCCCCAAAAGTGCATAAAAAATATTGCGCCATAAATCGCACCTTTTTTTGCATTACGGGATCTGTAGCGTTATGGTCAAAGACAAATATATAAAACCATAACGCTACAGATGTGCAGCTAGGAAAAGGGTGACCCACAAATTCCACCACATTGGTGCACTATGAACAATGATGATTCCCCAGTATACACCATTTCATTGCCTTTTTTTCCATCAATGAACAAATCTTTACATTTTTAAATAAATGTTTTTCATAAGGCCAAGTTTTAAGAATGTTTAGTTGCCCTCTCCCAACTCGGTCTAAAAATATTGGGTAGGTAGGAAGGTGAGAAAATTATTTTTTTTCTAGAAAAATTCAATTTTACTGCTAATTTTAAAAATTATGTTTTCCAGAGTACATTAATTGCTTCCTAGAGGCAAACAAAATTCAGTTTTTGAGTGGGGTCATTTTTAGCAAGTCGGTCAGCCGAAAGCAGCCCAATATTTTTTTAAAACATGGACTATGTTATAAGCATTAAGTTGTAAATTTTCTATGTTTATTATCATAACATAAATGGCTGCATGTGCTGACAAATTGAATAATACATTATGACACACAGAACCGAAAATAACATTTTTACAAATATTCAGATTTTCAACAGGTTGGGACCACTCGCCCAAATGGGATATACATGTAATAGGCCGTTTGGGACAATCTAATTAAAATCAGACTTCTTAGATCCGCGCCGTATACACTCTGCGTAAGAAGATCTGACATAACCCGACCAGGGGTCATGTTCACGTGAACTTTATGACGTGAATATTCATTTAAAAATTAGCCAATCAAATCGTAGCAATCTTCAGTCGTTAGGAAGGTGTTTAAAAATGGCTGACAGTGACATCGATCGAGCGATTGTAAATATACAACAACAATTAAACATCTCGTTAAAACATGAACAGAAAGAAATACTGGAGTTGATCCTACAGAAGAAAGACTGCGTTGGTGTATTGCCCACGGGTTTTGGGAAGAGTCTTCCGTATCAGTTGTCCATATTAACAAGACAGGCACTGAC